TTCCTTCTGTTTGGCCGAAGGACGCGACAGTCCGGTTCCTATTCCCCCGGCAAGTCAATATGGAATACATGGGAGACTCACGCACGCTCCTCCCCTTTATGGCTGGGAGGCCCGAGTGGACGGCATTGATTACTTCCCTGGGGAAGGATGTACCACCCCCCACCCCTCTCCCCTGCCTAAGTTAGCCTGTGCTACTTAATCTGCCTGGTTGTTGCCAATCTGTCTGACCCCAGTCCCTCTCCTCTCAGCAGTGATGCTGTCTGGTTGGTGTGTTATGCTAGAGCGGTCTGGAATGCCTATGAGTCTCCTGAAATCTCTCACACCCTAAGTCCTGTTTGCCGTGTTTCTGTCTAAAGTTCCTCTAAACCTTAAACCCTAAACCCTCAGCTGTAATGCTGTCAGATTTACCTGATCCTAGTTTAGCACACGTCTTTCTTTTCTTATTGTGCCTAAATTTTGGTTGCCGAGTTTGTTTTTACTATTTAGTGAACCTTTTGACAATTTCTTCCCTTTTGTCTGGTATCTTTTGGATCTGTTTTTGAGTTTTTTTCACAAAGCGCATGGATTTCTGTCTCTACTAGCTGTTTTATGATGATGAGAGGGTTTTCGGCATTGTCGTTGTGGTCCTCAGAGGTTATGTCACACCTTCTTTTCCAGATGGCCCATAGGGTCGGTCCCCTTTCTGATTATGGAGAAAAAATAGTGGGTCAAATCCCTTAAGAGGAGGGGGAGAAGGGGGGGCGAGGGGTGCTCATTGTCCAGGAGTATAGTTACGGGACTGATGATTGATCATTATTATTTTGTTTGAGAGTTCGTTCCAGGTTAATTCTATGTCTTGCCAAAGTTTTTTGGCTTTTTCACATTCTATGAAACAACGATTTAGTGCTTCTTTGGTTTGTGTGTCTTACATACTTTGCAGTGTTTCACCATGTTGATTGCTCAGTTCTGTTTGCCTTTTTTTTTTTTTTTTCCCTTCTCTGAGAAATCCATAACTTCACCGGTACTGCTCTGAAGAGTCTGCAGACTCTTAAGAGTAACGTTATGATCCACATAGTATACTACTGTCTTCACCTGAATAGAACGCCCGGTCATTATCGCTGCTGTATGTAGACTGAAAGTTGCACCAAATCCGGCTATAATGACCGGACGTTCTATTCAGGTGAAGACGGTAGCAAGTTTAACCGGTCTTGTACAGAATACGGACAACCAGGGGGGTTTAATCGGTGAACAATTGAGTGCACTTTCTTCTTTTTCCCCATCTATTTTGCAGTAGGTAACTGTAGGTTTGATATTGATAGGGGTAAAAAAAAAAAAAAAAAAAAAAGTCTGTGTCCTAGCCTGCGGGTGTATTTTGGCCTGTGATACCGTGCTACTGGTTTGAAGCGGCTTGGTGTACACCATGACCATTCCACTGGATTTTATTTTTAACTTTTGTATGTGTATCTGGCTTGTAGACTCTGTTTCTATCACCTTCTATGACTCTAATTCTTTTTAGATTTCCCTACTTTAAATGCCCCTTTTGCTCTAAATCCCTTGTTGAGAAAGCTCACTGGATTCCTTTGTTTCCTCCATGGTATATAGAGATGGAGCATCGAACCCAGTCGTTGTTATGGTTTTCATATTTCCCTATTTTCAAAACCTCCTGAGGCTCGTTGTTATGGGGGTTTTCATATTTTAGTATTTTCAAAACCACCTGAGGCTTAAAATTAAAAAAAAAAAAGCCTCAGGAAAAAAAAAAAAAAACTCCTGAGTCTCTGTTTGACCCCTTTATTGTTGCCCAGTCCCCCCCGGAGCCCCTTCTGTTTGGTTTTTAACAGCCGCTGCCATTCCATGGGGGTACCCTTTAAATGATCTGCTTTAGGTTTTCTTGTAGGTTATGACTCCCCTTTAGAACAACCGTTTGTAGTTCGTTCTCTGTTTTCCAATTGTTCGTCAATTTCATTCCATAGATGCTGAACTTGCCACACTCCTTTTTTTTTTTTATCCAGAGACTCCATTTACTATCTGCATTCGTGAGTGATATGCTCTCCCCTTTGAACCCCCTTTCTCATATTTGATCCACGGGTTGCCGTCGTGCCGAAGACGAAGATGGGTTGTTGTCTAAGGACTTCGTTCGGGTAGCAAGTTCCCCTAACCTTATTGTATCCACAGATTCCACCAGGGTTCGAACTGATGACCTGTTTGTCAACAGTTGCATGTGTGTTTTCTATTCAGCCAGCGACAGAGGCGATGATTGTATCCACTGATTCCGCTGATTCCGCCAGGGTTCGAACTGACGACCTGTTTCTCAACAGTAACATGTATGTGTGTACCATTCAGCCAGGGACAGAGGCTGGGTGCCTCTCTACGTTTCGCTCTGCCAGATCATCGGATAAAAAATAACAAAAATTAACTTAAAAAAAAAAAGGGAGTATCACCAGGTCAAGGGAAGCTGTTACAAGTGGATTTCGCATCAGCTTCTTTCGCATCAGATTTTGTTCCCCTTCCCCGGGTTCCCCCCTTTCACAATTTATTTTCTTCTACCAGCAACATCGCAACCCAACGCTGAGAACTGGATTCGCATTAAGGCACACTGCATATGAGAGCTGGAATGGCATTAACTTGATGGCACATCTGATAGGGGGTTGATGAAGCAACCAACTGTCAGGTAATCAGTAGAAGACCGGAAGCCAGTCATCATGTAGAGGGATGCATACACCTGCAATCAAGCCCTAGCACGCACATCATGATAATGTTCCGGTTTCATAACGTGCAGCCTTGTCCTACCATTCCTTCTAGCTTCCTCTTTTTTTCACTCCTTTTTTTCTGTCTTTTTTCTGTTCGCTTATATTTTTGTTCCTCCTTCGTCTTCGTCTTTCTTCTTCTTCTTCTTCTTCTGCTGCTGCTGCTCGTTATGCTTCTTATGCTTCTTGTTGTTTCCTTCTACTGAAGACATGTGCGTTGGGATCCAGGGTAATGGACTTCATTTGAAACACTTTCAGGTGTGTTAATTGAGAGGGAGAGAGAGGACACATGATGCTGCGAAGTTGTTTACTGGAATGTGCTCAAGTGCATGTCGGTCATTGCTTATCAGTATTTCAGAGTCGTTACATACCTTGGGTAGTAAATGTCAGGATCTCCTAGGCCAAGGCCCCTTAAGATCTGTGATCCAACGGATAGGCTTTCCTCTGATGACGCTGAGGCATGTCCACCCTGCATTGCCAAGCCTGCTGCTATTGTAAGCAATGTGCTTCGCCTGGTGCAAGAAGGTGCAAGTCGAGGAGGAGGAGGAGGAGGAGGAGGAGCCATCCTCACTGTACGGCTGTAGTGTGCGGGAGAGGACCATTCACTGAATTCACTGAATTCACTGAATGGGAGCTTGTATGCAAAACGAGAAGAAAATTCAGGAAAGACAGAAACAGGACACAGGTTGATGATGGTCAGGACAGGCCAAAAACACATCAAACACGCATACCAACAAGTTTTTTCGATGTTCATCTCCAACTGCGTAAGCCACGTCGATTTCATTTTCATACTATTTTAGTATTTCTCCTCACATATTGAGCATGCTCCTCCAATTCCGTTGACTCTCTCTCTCTCTC